AAGGTAAGTTAAGTTTTATTTAAGTTTATTTAATTTTAATTTAATTAATTAGTAGTTATTTTACTTACTACTACTTACTTACTTAGTACTAGCTCTCTCTCTCTCTCTCTCTCTCTCTCTCTCTCTCTCTCTATATATATATATATATATATATATATATAGAAAGGTAGAAGCACCCATTACTTTTTTTTTCTTCTTGAATATTGTTTTACTATGCATAGTAGTTAAAACATTGTTCTCGATGAGGGCAAACCTTGTGGTGAAGGCCGAAAAGCTCGACAAAATATAAAGCAGGACTGAGATTGTACTAGATGGAGAAGACGGAGAAGTTACTTTGGAGGGAGGATATTTTAGGAGATCAAATGCACTGCTACTTGTGATGATCAAGAGGTACTTGGGGTGTTTGTTTTTTTGCAGTCTTAATTTATGTATTTGTTTTTCTCCAATATATTGGATTCTAGTATTTTATTTTTTCCCCAATATATAAGAAGAATCCATTGGAATTTACGTGTCTTCCCTCTTTTTACTTTATTTTTTTATATGGTTTTTGTTTTTGATGGAAAGAGGGGGTGGGACGGTTGTCATGCAAGTACTGGCATTTTTATCCCACATTGAAGAATTTGGGAATGATGTGGGTGGGGCAGGCCTATAAAAGGGCCATATGAGAACTTGAGAAAACAATGGGAATTTCACATGCAACATCATGTGAATATAATATCCCACGTGATCTCACAAGGTTGCAATGGGCCATCCCTTTCCAATTAAAAAATTACTATAAAGTTGAAAGGTTTAAAATAAGTGGGAACTGCATGAGGCCTACTCAATTATTAAAATCATAAATAAAAAAACACTTTGAAAAAGGAACTAGTTGGATAACCCCTTCCTGTTCATCGGTTCAAAAGTAGGTTGGATTGCCGGTTCTCTGACAGAATTGGTGATTCTACCAGTGAACCCACCAAATCATGGGAGGAACTGGTCAGTTCCCGGTGTATGTTGAGAACAAAACGGCTCTAATGATACCTGATCCGGATCGGGTGACGCCTATCCAGATCACAATTTTTAAAACCCTGAGAGAGAGAGAGAGAGAGAGAGAGAGAGAGAGATATATTAGATGTGTAGCGAATGAGGTGTCAACCCCCCTTTATATAGGCCTCAAGGACAATATGGCGTTCCAATCAGATTAGGATTCAACATTATTTAAAATACTTATTTAATCTATGAGGTGAGAGAGAAATTAATTTGAGTCATCCATCTATATGATCAACCATCATGATTTAGAGAAGAAATTTAGGAACGTTGTCCCCTAAGATGTGACCCATATCCACTTCTAATTTATCTAGATTTGACCAGTCAAAACTTTATTTTCTAGAATTATCTAAAATTCCTTTTCTCTCAAAAGAGGATAATAAGAAGGAATTCAAAATAATTGAAACTTGGTCAAAGATAATCTATATCCCACAAAATCTCACAAAAATAAAAAAATTTCCAAAAATATTTCCATCTAACATATTTTTAAAATAAATAAATCACATCCCAAGATTCCCAAAAATATGAAAACATGGGCATGACTCATATGTGGGGCATGTGTCCCTTGTAGGCCTCATATCCCACCCCAAGTGGGCTCCACAGATGTAGGGGCTGAAACCTTAGCAACCCCCCCCCCAAACACACACACACGCGGATCCCACCTATTTAGAACAATTTCTATCACCCTCTTATTTAGAGAATCACTGATGCAGGAAAATAAAGAAAAACATAAAAAACAGATTAATAAAACATCAAAACGGCCCAAATTTGAGTAATCTGGCATCCCTTGCACAAAAAAGTGACTCTAAAACCCTAAATGGGGCTAGTTGTCACAGCATGTTTTTACTATTAATGCCCCAAAAGTCTTAAAAACCTAACACCCCAGGCCTTTTTATAATATTATAATGAAAATACACCAAAACTATCCCCACTTAAGTTAACACTTTATAAAACATACCCCATAAGTCCCTTCACTTAAAAGAAAATATATTATGGCATTTTTACCCCGAACAAAAAAAGCAATGACATAAGTATTCTACCCTCTTTACCACACATCTCAAAAAATCCTAAAAACTATTAAAATTCCTAAAATCCCCCAAAAAACGTTCCTAAAAAAATCCTGGAAAATTCTAAATTTTAATTCTAAAAATTTATTAAGAAAAAATAAAAAATAAGGTAACATCTTGTCTTGCATCATTCTCCCCTAGTTGGAGAAAACTCGCACTCGAGTTTTGAAATAAGCTAAGATGAACTTTGCGTCAGTCCTACACCCTCCTTCAAACCGGATACTGAAAACACGATCCTAGGACTTGTGAGTTATTGGACTAATCAAAACATAACAGTTGTGCAGTGAAACTCAATCTTTGCAATCAATTGATATATCCATAAATACTTTTGAGAACCCCTCGAGGAAAGGATCATTATATGTTGATGGAAAAACCATGATATGTAGTCACATTAACTAGCTGAAAATGTATTAGTACAGCCAAACCCTGCTGAAATTGCCTTGGTTCAGCTGTAGAACACCTTCGAGATGAACATCTCCAACCCCTCGTTCAACAGCTTTCTCTTCCAAAGAGCCTTCATCTTCATCTTAACTATTGTCACCTTCTTTGTTTTCACCCGGTTCTTGATCAAAAATTGGATCATTACCTTCTTCATTTGAACACTTATCGAAGACTAGTGGAGAGTCCCAATCAATGACCTGTTGATGTTGGAAGCAAATTGACGAGAAATTCTTGGGTTTAACCAATCTGCCTAGTCTACTACTCGGGGTGTAATCATGCTGCCCAACCTATGCCTCCTCATGGTCACTAAATGTAACTTTTGACTCTTCTACCTCATTCCTCATCCTAAACAGGGTCTCCATCAGAAGCTAGCTTGTTGTCCTCTTCAAGGAACTCCTCTCGAAGGTTCACAAACTTTTTATTCAGGCGCCAAGAGCAGATGTGTCCGACACCTAAACACTTAAAGCACTTATTAATGCTACTGTTTGGATGATTTGCGAGAGTAGAACTGGACCCAACACCCATTGTATCCTGTTGTTTGGATGGGCCAGCAGGTCATGACGACTGTCCAGCCACCAAATTCCCACCTTGGCCCTTAAATTCACTCCCACGGCCACTTGAATTAACCGTGCTGAGTCCCACCTTGATGATGGACCCCTCTATTGAGCTTCAACCTTCATTACTAGGTTGTAAGCCTTAACTAATGTTCAGTAACGCTGCATAACCATTGCATCTTGTATAGATGTTCTCTGTCCATCAACATACCGAGCTAAGGACTGCTCCTCTCTTTCAACTACATCACTACACATCATCAACTTATAAAATTCATCAGCATACCCATCTATTTATCCTTGTTGGTGGTTGTGGCATTTAAAAGCCCAGAGAGCTTGCAAATATGCTATTTCATAGTAGAATATGCACTTCAATTGAAGTGTGTGTGTTATTGAGCAGTTTATGGCCCTGGTCATGTCCAAAACCCTTAGCTCTAAGCACATGGCACTACCGAAAAGGGTTTGCAGTGGGTCATCCAGTGTTAAGGTTGGAGAGATGCTCAGGGATGATGTTTGTAGGCCTGGCAAACTGTGTGATCTCCTATGTGCGATTGTAAGTCAGTGAGAGCAAGAGCCAAAGCCTCAACAAACTTCTACACGGCATGTACACATGACAATCGCATTACTAGGAAGCAACCCTATAGAGGGACACGTGTACATGTGCATAGAGGGAGCCTGCTTTGCACTGTCGTGACAAGTGCTAGATTTCTTTTAAAGAAGGGAACTGAAATCCACATTCCAGGATCATGGTCCTACTATTTATTATCCAACTGTGAAAAGCCAATAATGAGCCCCTACTTTGAGACTGTGGGTCATGGGTCTTTATTGGGTTCGATAAGAAAACAGTACTAGATCTTGGTTTCTAGGGCGAATGGAATGTCTTTATTGTCGCTTATTTTGACCCATTGGCACCAGTCCACTCCTAATATAATTTCTTTTGGTATTCTAAATGTCTTTATGACTTTGAAATATTTTTTCAGATTTTTTAATTTATTATTGCTGCAGTATTTTTCATAAAAGAGTATTTTTAAAATTTCAGTATTTTACAAAGCACATGTGAGGACCAAGGACCCAACCCCACACATGTATGCCACCCATGTGGGGCTGACATGTGTGTGCCACCCATGTGGGGCCTACATGAGCTCCTAGGGTGACACACCCTTTTTTTTAAGCAGAAGGGGGAGCACGCCACCTTTTTAGCTAAAAGGTGGCATGCCAATTTCTTTTATACAATAAAACCCCCACACAACTTTTTGTGGTAAATAAAAGGGCCACACCGTGTTTTTAGGAAGGGGAGGGGGGGGGGGCACGGTGAGGGTTTACAGTTGTTCAAAATTTAAAATAACATAGAAAATTTAATTCAAATTTAGATTTGGTTTCCTAACCTTATGAGAGATCTATGATACAGATGGATTACATTTCAACTTTTAAATAGGAATTGGAGTTAGGTCAAAGTCAAAGGGCATAATTCTTATATTTCCACCCAAAATCATAATAGCTGATTTTTAGAATGGATTTGTTTCTAATTAAATATCTCTCACCCCACAGATTTTCTAATTATCCTAAAGATCAAGTTGGAAATTGAATAAGGTTGGATCCTATTTAAAATAGGAGATAGATCTTGTTTCTATCTAAAGCTATTTGAACCTCCTCTCTCATTACATGATCTTTCTCTCTCCAATAAAAGATTCTCTCTCATGCACCTACTCTCTCCCTCTCTCCACGTCAGAATTTTCTTCTCTCTCCAAAAGAAACTTGAAGTCATATGTCCCTTTCTTTACCCATAGGGAGGCACGCCACTCTCTCTATCTATATTTTTGTGTTAAAGAAAATATAGGTGGTGTTATAGAGAAACCTAGAGCAAGGGTTTACAGTATTTTGAAGAAAACAAGGGAGAAGCCCAACCTACATAGAAATCAACTCACATATTCAGCCCAAATTTGTTCCCATAGGGTTTCTATAAACCCTAGTTGATTTTGAGCTCTCTAAAAACCCTAAAAAAAAGAAGCAATGCCTACAAAGCTTCCCTATCTCAGAATTTTCAGCAACACCTTAAGGAGTAAAAGTGTGTAATCGGTCAAAGAATCGGGTGTAGGGTGTATCAAGTCTTGGTAGAATAACTCCAGGCATCGTCTAGTAAGTCTTCTCAGTAGACTTAATTAATTACGGTATTATTTTCTATTTTCAGTGAATTTCCAGCTTATTTTGTGCTAATAATTATGGTGTTAGTTAGTTTAAAGCTCCTAAATAGTTTCTATTTCTCCTGGTAGTGAAAATAAAAAACCTAGGTTGCATTTACCTTCATCTCGCCCATGATAGAGGCCTGCAAGCTACCTTGTAAGTTCTTGAACTAGTCGACTAATATCCTCTATCTCCTGATACCGCTCATCATGAGGTGGATTCATATGAATACCCCTGCTGGACCTCTTCTTGTTGTCATAAGTTCATCGAAATCACAAACAAAGAATCAACAAAACTTAGTGGAAACCGCAAGTTCTAGGCTGACTTGGCAAAACTTAACCTAAAATCAGTAAAATCTATACTTGGTTTTAGATTCCCAACTTTGTTGTTGAAGAAAACCTAGGCTCTCATACCATTTTGATGCAGGAAAATTGAGAAAAATAGACAAAACAGTTCAATAACCTGTCAAAATAGACCACATTTAGGTGGATCTAGCTTTCTTTGCATAAAAGAGTGACCCTAAAATCCTAAATAGAGATTACTGTTACTATTCACAACCTAGTTTTTACTGTTTACATCCCAAAAGTCTTAGAAATTCCAACACCCTAGGCCATTTTATTACATTATAATGAAGACATACCAAAACTACCCCCAATTAAGTCATTATCAAAATACCCTATAAGTCCCTTCACTTAAAAGAAAATTTTGTAATGACCCTTTTACCCTTAATAAAACAAATAATTCCATAAATATTCTAACCAGTAACCACTTTTCTAAACATCGCCTAAAATTCTAAAAAATACAAAAAAATCCTAAAATCCCTAAAAGAAGTTAAAACCTTTAAAAACACAACCCGAGAAATTTCGAAAAATACATCATTAAAATTTAATAAGAAAAATTCAAAAATAAGACGCATCTTGTCTTGCATCAATTATAGAAATACCCTTACCGGGTTTTTATGCATTTAAAACTTTTAAAATTATGAAAAAATATCCACAAAACACAGAAACATGAAATTACTTGACATAAAATTTATGAAGTTCTACAAAAAATCTAAACACTCAGAAATACAACTTAGAAGTGAATTGGTACCATATCGGTCAAAAACCCAACGATCCATCATCCACAATTGTCTTCTCAAACAAACCCAAAGAGACCCATGACCCACAGTCTAGTGCAGGGGCTCATGGTTGGCTTGTCAATAAACAGTGGAGCTTAATATGTGGATTACAAGTTCCCCCTTGAGAGCAAATCAAATATGCACATATCACAACAGTGCAAGGGGGTCTCTCTATGCACATGTACATGTGTCCCTGCATATAGGGTTGCTTCCCAAAATGAGGAAGTCATAGGTGTATGTCATGCAGAACTTTTGTTGAGGATTTAACGCTCAATCTTACAAGCCTAGATCCGCACATAGGAGACCACATAGCTCTCCTCACTTAAACCCTCGATGGTAGTTTCACATGCCCCATAGGAAGGATTTTGGATATGACCAGAGCCATAGACTGCCCAACCTAGGTCAGTCAACCATATGACACTCCCACTGAAGTGTATAATCAACTATAATTTATCATATTTACATGCTCTCATGACCTATAAAGGCCACAAACCCCAACAATTAATAGTTGCAAAACATAGTAAATAACCAATTCACATATGCATATATTTCGATATGGTATATTGTTCATAACTTTTGATATCCACATATTATTCTCCAAGAAAAATAAATACTAAAGATAATTTTAGTATATGTGTGCTTCATGAAATTCTTCCATCCAGATAAGAAACAAAAGAAGAACACACAACCTTTAAAATGCGATATAATGAATTATGTATTAGCAAAGAGAATATGGTATGATCTTTAAAATGTGATATAATGAATTATGTATTAACAGAGAGAATATGGTGTGATAATCATACCTTGATGTTTGTTTTGCTCAATGATACTTAAAAAGCTTGAGCTATTAAGAGCTCCTGCATTAAAAGAGATGAATTATGAAAAGAATATTATTGCAACTCCTACCACATTCCATAGAAGCCCAAAATAGAAAAAAAGGAACAAGCAACATGCCATGGTAAACAACAGGCTTTACACCAGGATCTTTTAGAAAGACAAGTGCTGGAGCAGATTCCACCTCAAACCTGTTGACAAGCCAAAATGGCAAAAGTATAAGGTCAAAATCTATTTGTGCACCAGTTAAAGACATGGACAAGTATGAACAAGGATTAAAAAAGAAGTGCGCATCAAGGAGAACTATCTTCCATAAGATTCTTGTCATATCGTTCTCAAAATCATAATATCGGAGAACTATCTTCCATTAGGTACAAACAACTCATAATATAAATATGTTACACTGGTGTAGCACTTGTTACAAATGTAGAAGTCCATGTTATAGCAGTTTTGCTTTCTTTAAAAAGAAAAGCACAACATCGCTTTTAGAATCTGAAACATAATATTGGAGAACTATCTTCCATTAGGAACAAACAATTCATAATATAAATATGTTACACTGGTGTAGCACTTGTTACAAATGTAGAAGTCCATGTTATAGCAGTTTTGCTTTCTTAAAACAGAAAAGCACGACATCGCTTTTAGAATGTGAAACAAAGAATAGAACAAGGACAACAAAAAGTAAATGTGATGATGTATAAGCAAGCAATATATTTAGTGACACTGCATTGTTTCATCATTTTAAGTTTAGACAAAAAGTCCCATCATACTTGACTGGATTTCGTGCATGGACACACAGAGAGTTATGCTATTCTATATCCACAAGTATCCTAAAAGTATCCTTAATTAGTATTTGTACATTAAGCATATACAAGAATATCATCTGGGCAGTTCAGCAGGGAAGGGCTCCCCTACGTAATAGGAGTAGACCTCTTGTCATAGTGTTGTGGCACCCCTCCACCCTGGCCACCTAGCCTACAGCCTAGTCCTAAGAATATATAAATATTATTGCATCATAGACAGGACCTTTCCCATGTATTCCAGGAAGCTGCTAGAATCCTAGGCAAACTGGATATTTGAAAGTATTCAATTGGAAAAGTACCTGCCAATTAGGAAACCTCCCTAAACAAGATATTCTAAGGGCTTCAACTTCCAGAAATTAAAACCACATAACTTTCCTTTTCTGATTACCACAAATCACAAGATCCTCCATATAGCAACTTCTCATAAAACTAGCTACATATCAGTTTCAAGTCAATGTAATGAAAAGACAAATACAAAATCCCCAAAGATAAAGCCTTCAACCGATCAAAATTTTCAATTATGAATAGAAAATCACATAAATGTTCTTACATGTTCCACCAAATGGAAGAAAGTTCTTCGCGCCACAGCACAAATCCAAAAGAAGCATAAGCCCAATAGTCCTTTGCTGCCTGGCGCAAAAAAGGAGCAGCACGTTCCCCAGTTTTGGAGAAGCCTATAACTTTTGCCTGACAATAAATTCAGCAAAAAGGATGATCATGTCAGAAGGCATGGCGTGTAAGAAAAAACATATCAAGATGGTGCCTATATACGAAAATAGTTTGGTAACCAATGATTAGGGTAGGACTATTAGGAAAGAGAAAGTAGAATAGACACATTTCCAATAAAGCGAGGAGAATGTACAATTTTTTTATCCTTTCGTGCATGTGTAAGGTGGTGAGTACAATTTTATTGACAGCTCCTTTCTCCCGTTCATGATTCTTTTTCCTTTTTAAATTTTTTGATAATAGAGCAACAAAGTAAAATTTGAGGATAACTTTCAGGAGAAGATTTTCAAAGAGTATGGTCACATTAATGGTATCTGCTATGCATTAGCATGCACACAGTTTTGTGTATTTGTCATGATCGTCTTACTATTGATATATATAAGCCACAACTTTGTACACCAGTGCAACCACATTAGGTAAAGCACAGGTGAAGGTTCCCCAAACCACATGGTAAGATACTCTCACAAACTCCACTTTGTATAACATCCTTAGGTGTTCCTCTTTAAGGCTCTTTGTTCATGCTACAGTCTTATGACTATGGAGACCCTTCAGAATAGAAAAACAGATAAGGAGTCGATCACTAAGAGGAGCAATTCATTTTCTTTTAGGGTTCAAGTCACATGCTTAGAGATTATTAAAAAAGAAACCATATAATAGTTGCCATATGGGACAGACGGAATCATCAAATGAGGTAGATGACTTCATCAATTGACGGAAGTGGTCTACTGCTGGAAAATTAGAAGTGAGTGATTTCCCTTTGATATTAAACTACAAGTCTTCTCGTAAGTTATTTCTCTCACTAACCAAAAACAAAGATATTGCTAGTAACAAACAAAAGAAAGTCTGTCATTTTGTCGATCCTGGATGGAATCAGTCAAATTGGGCCAACTTCATCCAACTTGCATGTATTCCACAACCAACCCAATAGAAGATTCTATAACCACGGGGTCATCATCATCATCGTCAAAGCCTTTATCCAACTAACTGGGGTTGGCTTCCGGATTTATGGAAAATTTTGATAAAATTTTACATTGGCTGCCTACCTGACACGACCCACCTCCTTTACCAAACTTGGGACAGGTGAAGGGAAAGTTTAAAATCCTCACCCTTCTTAGACCAATTATATAACCATGGGATACTGAATGGATTTGTTCCAAAATCCATATTATACCGGAGGAAAGATGAATAAAGAGGTTATCTACATTACTAATGACAAGATGAAATTAGAACACCAATATTCTAGCTAGTCAATCAATGTAACTTACTGGCTTGTATATCACACATGATGTGTTGGATTTCTTAAGGAGAATATCAGTGAGTTCAACAAGAACATTGGAGTCCAATTAGCAGAACAATAACTTAAAAGGAGAAATCGATCCAGATACACAAGGTTGATCAATTAGAATATAGCTTGATATTAGGATGTTTAGTTCCTTATGTGAATTGCTGGAATCAAGCAGCTTGGAAACTGGTGGAAGTAGGATGGTCTCTATGAAGATGACTCCTTTGCTTGTTGTTGAGGAACCATTAATCACATAAAGAATACATGGAGGCAAGAATCGCAGTCTAAGACCCATGTAAACCTATGTAGAGTGCTATAATTAATGAGTGCTGCTTGAGCGATGTTTGTATATTTACATATTACAATATATCATTGCTCGAGCATTATCAGAGAAATGAGTTTATCTTCATTATCTATGCTGGCCATTTCCAATATTTATTTTCCTAAACTAATTAAACATTGCATACTCAAATGAAGTCGCTGATCTTCCCTCCTAGTAGACCATTGAAATAAGATAAGAATCTTTCATGCACATTTTGCATGCACAACTCACAAGAAACTAAAACTCTTGATGGTGACGAGAAAAATACCATTAGATGTCGACGAAAGATCAACTAAAGTGCGTCAAGAGCATAGTTAGCAAGTCGGGAACTATCAATAAATCAGATCACCATAAAATCATAAATAAATCGTTTTTATTTTAAAAACTCAGATGAAAAATCGGGCAAAAAAATACAGATTGGCAAAAATATTTTATGTAAAGATATCGCAAATTTATTGGACTAGGCTAAAAAAATCGGAGTGAAAAAAAGGGATAAGTTTAAAATATTAAAAATTTTGAAATAGGATACACTTGAGTGAACTCAATTCACTTGATAGTTGAGGGAACACAACTCATTTTAGACATATTGAACCCAAGTAAATTTTTATTTTACCTCAAATTAAAGATGTCGGTGCACATTAAAGATATAGGTCTAAATTGTAGGCCCTAGATTGCCCAAACTTGATGCAAAATAAAGGCCAAGTGTAAAGACGAAGCTATTTACCCATCGTGTTGTAAAGACGAAAGACGTGTGTTGTAAAGAAGGACGCGTGTTGTACAAAGCTATCGCTCGTTTTATGTAGAGAAGAGAATGCACATTGAGAGAAGGAGAAGTGGAGGCAGAGAAATGGAGAGAGAGTGAGAGAGGGGGGGAGTGGGTCACCACGCATCTCTCAAAGAAGAGCATAGAAGAGAAGGCACAAGCATATGCAAAGGTTTTTGAGATGGTGCTGTCTTTTTGAAGATGAGGGTGAACCTATGTGTGAAGAAAATCAGATGGATGCTCTGTGTCGAAATCAGATGGTGATGGTGTTATCTGTTTTAAGCTGATGGATTGTTAAATCAGGTTAAGGGAAAAGCCCTAATCTGTATCTTTTCCCGAATTTATTTTTCCCTAATGTAATGTTCTTTGAGTTATGTTAAATTTGAGGATTTTGAGCTATGTTAAATTTGGAGATTTTGACAATAAATGTTGAATTTGTGCTTTGAAAGTTCTCTCTATCATATGGTTCTTTGTTTTCCCTAATTTCTGTAAGATGTTAAATTTTTCCTTAATTTTCCCTAATCTGTATTGTTTTCACGATCTTTGTTTTTCCCTAATCAATTTACCCCTAATTTCTTTGAGATAGTTCTATTTTTCCCTAATCTATTTACCCCTTATTTCTTTGGGATTCTTCTCTATCAGATGGTTCTCTTTCTCTCTCTGTACCCATCAAACCATTGTTTTCTCTTTCTGTAACCATCGAGCATCATAAACAGTGATTCAATAACTAGTAAATAAATAATAAATAAAAAGAGATTTAATTCAAAAAGCTCCAATATGCAATGATCCCGTTTTAGGGTTTAAAAAAAAAAACTATAATCTGCAACTTGAGGCTAAACCCTAGCACGCACAAGAAATAACCCTAACAGGAGATAAATTATTTTGTAGGGGAATTTTTCTTTTCCAAAAAATTATTGTTTTTTATGACGTATAAAAATGAAAATTTCATAAAGCAGGAAAAGCTACCAAAAAAAGATTTTAGAGGTTATTAATAGAAAAAAAAAAAATTGAAACGATTTATTGTAAATACCAAAAAATCGCCTAACGTGATTTTTTGGCGCTCTTTTGAAAAATCATAGAATAAAATGTTTTTAAAAAAACCTCCAATTTTTTGAAAAAATCGCATTTAAAACGGCGATTTGCTAACTATCGTTAGGAGACCCTTAAATTGGCGACCAGAATAACCAAATTTGACCCCTCATGGTTTAAAACTTGAAAGGTACGGCCATGTGGAATTCAAAGCTATAAAATAAAAAAAATTCTTCTTTTCTTTATTATTGAATCTAAATTTCACTTAAAAGTGCCCAGGAATAAAACTAAGCTTCCAGTATTAATTAAAATAAAAACAATATTATCGAAAATACAAAATAAATATGCACATAAGACTGAAAAAAAAACAAAATAGTCAAGAAGACTTACTGGACTAGGCCTAGGGTCACCCCCATAGGACTTAGTAAGCCCTACACCCAATTTCCAAACCGATGATGCACTTCAATCCTATTAGTCTTGCTAAATTCTCAGTGCAAGGAAGTTTCCTTAGGCAATCCCTCTTAAAATAGGATTTCAAAGGGTGTAAAAGACAATTAGGGTTTGTTAGATAACCCCTTTAGAACAAACTAGGGCATACCATGAAGACACATCCCTTTCTAGGCTGGGCATAATCCTTTGTCTACAATGAAACCATAATTAGGGTTAGCGTGCCACCCCTTACTAGTTTCTTATAGGGTGGCATGTCACCCCTTATTAATTTCTTACAGGGTGGCGTGCCACCCCTTATTAATTTCTTACAGGGTGGCACACCTAGAGAGAGAGAGTTTGGGGTGTGGAGGAGAGAGAATTAGAGGAAATAGAGGCTCCAATAGTGAGTTATGAGAAGTAGGATTCACCTCCTTATATAGGCCTCAAGACCTTGGCCTCCTCCTCCCCCTGCCCCTGCCCCTGCCCCTGCCCCCAGTATGCCTATCCAATGACTCACCAAGACCAATAGGAATTTAGAAAATCTATCCCCCAGTATGCCTATCCAATGACTCACCAAGACCAACAGGAATTTAGAAAATCTATGAGGTGAGAGAATTAAATCTAAGTCATCCATCCCACAAATCAGCCATCATGATTTAGGAAGGCATATTAAAAATTTTATCTCCTAAATATTTGACCCATATCCACTTCTAGTCTAATTAGGTTTATACCAATATAAAAACCTTCTAGAACTCCCTAATTTATTTATAATTGTAGGAAGTCAAAATAATAATAAAAATTTGTCAAAACTAACTCCCACAAAAATAGGTCACACATACCCCTATGGGTGATGTACGGGGCCCCATGGGCCCCAAAGGCCCACCCATGGGATGTGGCACACATGTGGGGCTAAATCCAAGGGCCTCATATATGCCCCTATACTTTTCCATATTTTCAGAATTACCCTTTTAAGGAATTTACAACAAAAATTTCTTTTTAAAAGTTACGAAAAAAATTTTGCCTCACTGAAGGTATGGCCCTTGACATAGCAAAGTGGCAAACTAAGATTCATGTAGCCAACCCCAAATAGTTGGAAAAAGGCTCAAATGATGACGATGATGATAGTTTTTTTTAAAATATTAACATAAAGAATTATAATACTGAAAAAAATATTAAAAAAAAAATCTAGAAGTGAAAGGTACCAATAGGTCAAAATAAATGACTATAAGGGCATTCTACCCGACGTAGTGACTGTGATCCACAACTGTCTTCTCAAACAGACCCAAAGAATCCCATGACCCACAGTCTCATGCAAGGCTCATGATTGGCTCATCAAATCGAGCCAATAAATAGTGGAACCACAATCTCGAATGTGGATTACAGTTCTGCCCCCTGTTATGAGCAAGCTAAGCACATGTCACTACAGTGCAAAAGGGGGGACTCTTTCTATACGTATATACACATATCCTTTACATGTCATACCAAAGTTTATTGAGGATTTAACCCTTACACTCACAGCCTACATCCCAATACAGGAGACCACACAGCTCTCCTGGCCTACAAACTATCTCTGGGCATCTCACTGACCTCAACAAGGGACGATCTTCTGTAAACCCTTTTCGGTAGTGGCACAGGCCTAAGGGGTAAGGGTTTTGGATATGATCAAGGCCATAGAAATGTACAATCCACTATAAATCAAGAAATACACACTCCCACTGAAGTGTATAATCCACTATAAATGCCTTTTTACATGCTCTCATAACATTTAAAGGCCACAAAACCCAACAGAACCACAATGCAATTTATTTTTCATTATATTAGTTTTTATAAGTAGCCTTTACACAACTTAAGGAAACAGTCTGAGGTAAGTTTTGCTTGAATAAAAATCACTGGTTATAATACAAAATTCCACATATCAGTCAATAAAAAATTTATGTAAAAGGTCCCAAAGAATGTCAATGAAGGGCCACCCAACCATTAGTTTATGGGATGTAATAGCTAATAAATTAAGGCTGTAAGCAATGATGCCGGTTCCAAGTACATGAGGGAATACCTTATGAGAACCAGCCTTCATAATGAAATCTTGCACCTGAAGGGAAACAAAGTTCCTTGTCACCTCCTACTAAGGCATATATAATGACAAAATTGCAATTTCTATTAACATGGAAGTACATAGCAAAGAATACATCATAAGGCTCAAATACAACAGAACAAATCATTGTTGCCCTGATTGGGTCATGCATCTTGGCATGACTTCAAGAAATTCAGAGATATATTTCAAGTTAGCACCATAAGAGATTTCTGAAACGAAGAAATATACGAAAACAAAATGCTAAAGAGAATTGAAAACGTGAAAAGACGGCATCTAAAAGTTTCAAAAACAAAAAGATATGGGACAATGTTCGTGTTCTTTTCCATAAAAAAAAAACCTTGATCGTTCAAAATTCAAATATAAAGTAGATTGCACATAGAAAAGCCATGATTGTTACGTGGAACTGTTTAAAGTCTGACTAGACCTTCAGCCAGATTATGTAATTGCGCAGTTTAAGGACCAACTTCTCTTTCCTTGCATTGGAAAGTGGTTACCCAGCGGAAGGCCCACTAAAAGCAAACTTCCATATGGAGTAACGAAATGCATTCAGAACCAACAGTTTCCTAGTAGTAATATGGAAACTGAAGAAATGTATGGGTTTCCTTATGCTTTTAGAGTTGAGAAATGCTATATGTAGGGTCAAAACATACAGCTAGAGGGCTCAAAATGTGTTTATAAACAAATTCACAGTTTTGCTAATTTTCCATAGGTAAGACAACTATAAACATTTCAAATCAAGTAGGTTGCGTGTAGAAAACTGTACAATAATATACAGGAACATGCTAGGACTAGGAGGTGCGGCCCCACAACAAGGCCGCGCAAGAGTGAAGGGCATTTGACCCATGATACCATCCTGCCTCAATTAAGATTCCCCTTGGATGGGATAATTTCAGCCAGGCACAATTCTTTGGCTTAATATCAATATCAAAAGAAGATTACCACCACCATAGCAAAAATTCTAGAGACCACACTAAACCCACAAGTTTAGTTGATCAAAAGATTCTGCAGTATCAATAAAGACCAAACGTTATACAGTAACATAATTACCAATGACTCCTTAGAGTAGTAAAGAATACGAGGCAACCCAAGTACGATTGTCGTCATCCAATCTACAACAGCATCCACTGAAAGATCTCCTTGGTACCTGATGCATAATTTTGTTGAACTCTTAGAAATCGCTAAAATTAGAACAAAGGAGGACTCTTAGAATATAGAGATATAGCATAAAGGTTACAAAAAGGAGCATAGCAGGCAGCAGTTTTGACAGTTGAAAACATATTACGGTAAGTAGTTTTAGTGAAGAAACAAAGCAATATAAGACACAGATCTGCAAGAAAAAAGAAACTGACCGAATAAGACATTCTGAGCTTCTACAACCATGAGGAAAGGCAATGAGTGAAGGAAGACCTGTGTTTTGCAGGGAAAATGATGGTAATGACAACACAACTCTATATAAGAATTATAAGTCATTAGCAATAAAAGCAGATGGTCCTAATTAATCAAGATCAGCAGCATTCAAAAAAATGGACTTGGGCTCACACTTGCTAGGGTTAAGCCCGAGCTAATCACAAAATGGATGAATCCAAGGGAGTCTGAGGTCCGACTTGGCCAATTTTATACAAACTACGAAAGGGTAAGGATACCCTAGGCTCAAGAGAATCCCTGCTTTGGGCTTCTCATTTTGGAAATGCCTGCGTCCTGATCCGAGCCGACTCAGGCGAGTCCCAAGTCAGCCCAGCAAGTTTTAAATCACTGATCAGATATCAATTATCATGAGAAGAATAGCCAAATCAAACTTCGGTATAGGACAAATCATAAATGAGAGAGAACCTTCAAAATATATTCAGCACCCAAAGCATGATCAGAATTAATAAATGAATAAACATTGCATAAAGCTCCATGCAGATCATTTTAAGATACTGGATAACCTCAATTGAAATAATATTATTAGGAAATGAATTTTTATTATCATGCACACAATCTCAAAGACCCACCATATTTCCATATGTAGAGGTAAGTTCAATATCTTTTCCTCTGTTCAGCAGTATATACAAACAACAAACATGAAATACCCAATGCAGCATGATAGACCAGGTTTGATTATTCTATCTCCTGAAGAAAACCATGAGATAAGAGAATCTCAAGATATGAAAGACAATCGCTAAGCGTATATTACCCCGTCGAAAGAAAGGTTTCCCAGTGGTTTTGCTTTTCTCGGCGAGGTATTTTGCAAGCTCAACTTCACCAAGCTCCACAACATCAGTTTCCGCAACTCCATCAAGCAGATGAGCTGAAAAGAAAATATAAATAGATTATCATGGTGTTTCAACGATTAAATATGGGCATAATATACAACCGTCAAGTGTGGTAAGCATTCTTAAAACAACACAACCAAGAATGTGTTGGTGAATGACTTCTAACTGCCATCACTTATGGGCAACCTCATGCATATGTACACAAACAAAAATATGACCATATGGACCCAACTCTAGCAGACATCCAAGTAACTATGTGTGCAAAAAAAATTTACAAGAGAAAAAGGGCAAAAAACACTTTATATTCTAAACAAAGACAAAACGTAAAAACTAGAATGCAGCAAACACCAATAGCAGGCCTACAGTTCAAAAACCATGCAAGCAATTAACATGCACATTTACAACCCAAATATATGCAGCCATGGAAATGCGATCATGTGCATAGCTGCATATAGATACAAACAAAATAAAGCATTAACATAATTAAGTATTCATATCAGTGTTTGAAAATTCGGCGATCCGGAACGGAATCGCCCTATCCGGATCGGAAATCATCTTGATCGTTCCGTATCCTTAATATATCAGGATCCTGTCGTATCCCCTTTTGAACCGGCCAATCCAGACCAGTCCATACCGATTCTCTGACAGAACCGGCCGGCTCTATCCAATTCTGGCTGGCTCTATCCGGTTCTGTTAGTGTTTAACTTTTTAAAAATGAAAGGCGGTGGCCCACCCCTTTTTCGAAATCTTATAGAAGGACCACCTACTGGTGGGCCCTAACCACTCTTAAATGAGCACACATCACCCCAAAGCATGTGCTAAACAAGATACACTCTAGGCCACGTAGCTTGAGGGTTTTATTCAAGCTTTCCCTCCTTTGTGTCTTCGATGTGGGATAAATGGGTATCACCTCACCTCACCACAAGCTCTTCCTCCTTTTACGACTAAGTGGCCCCAATAATCCTGCCTCTCGCTCTCTCTCCCCCCTCCCAACCTTAGCGTCTCTTTTTTTTAATGTTCTTATCATAGTTCCACTAAAATTAATTCTAGTAAAATTCTCTCTACTAAGAAGTACAAACAAATAATTCTACTAAAATTCTCCCTCTAGTAACATCTTCCATTAAATTTGTTCCATATAGTTTCTTTCAAAAATCAAAATTCATAAGTTAATACAATAATAAAATAAATAAATTGAGTTAGAGAGATTCATTTTAAACTTTATTGTCATGTTGCAAACTTTATTTTGATTATAAAATGAATTTAATAGACAACAAACATGCAACATGAGATAGGTTCTCAATATTTACATATTTTTTGCACAATAATGAGACAGGTTTATTATTTTCTACACGCAACATGAGACAGGTTCTCCAACAAGGTTTTTGGGGTGGCCGATCCAGGTCAGCTATCCATTTTTTTATACCTTGATTCATATATCATCATCATCAAATCTTTTTCCCAACTAATTGGGATCAGCTACACAAGTCTTGGTCTACCATTATGCTCTATCAAAGGACATACCAATTAACTATTCGTATATAATAAGCAAATATACCAATTCAGGAAATGTATTAATTAATTGCACAAGACATAATGAGAAAATAGACTTATTTAAAAAATGAGAAAATAGAAGGGGTGAAATTAATGGGTGTCCAAGAACTAGGTGGTGGAATTTAAAAAATGAAAAAATAGACTTATTTAACGATAAATTAGCTCAACAAGGAAAATAGAATTCTGAACACGAGGTCAGTGTTATGTGGAATGAGATGTGGTTAAATGTGTTAAGAAAATAGTAAAAGAAATTTTAGGAGAATGTTAAGGGAAAAGGAATTTCGATAATATAAAGAAACTTGATGATGGAGTGATGAGGTTCATAAGGCCATTACCGAAAAACGATCATGTTATAAAACTTGACAGTGTAATAGAAATTATCAAAACTTAGAAAAGCATAAAAATGCTAAGAAAAACGTCAAAAAAATAGTAAGTAAGGCTAAACTTAAGGCATATAATAATCTATAAGTAAACCAAAAACAAGAAAAGGTGAAAAATATGTCTTCAAAATAGTAAAAAATGAGATAGAAAAAGTCTTGGTGAACGATGAAGAGGTTAACAAAAGGTGGTGAGTTTATTTTAATAAACTATTAAATGACGGACCCAATGGGAACATAGCGGTAGAAAGAACAGTTGGTATAAATGAGGACGAAGGTCATAGATACATTCGTAGAATTAGGATATAGGAAGTGAAAGAAGCTTTGAAAAAGATGAAGATAGGAAAAACTTTAGGACCAGATGGTATCCCGATAGAGGTTTGGAAGTGCATGGGGAGATTGGTATTGACTGGCTAACCAAGTTGTTCAACAAGGTGTTGAGAAAAAAAAAAATGCCAGACATATGGAGGAAAGGTATTGTGCTACCTATTTACAAGAACAAATGAGACATAAAATTGTGCGAACTATCGAGGGATCAAACTTATGAGCCACACTATGAAGCTCTGAAAGAGAGTGATTGAGCAACGACTAAGGCATCAAACAAGTATATTAGAAAATCAATTATGCTTTATGCCAAGGAGATCAACACTGGAGACTATTTTCCTACTTAGGCAACTGATTGAAAAGTTTAGGGTGAAGGGAAAAGACCTCCACATGGTTTTTATTGATCTGGAGAAAGCTTATCATAGAATACCTTGAGATTTCACTTGATGGGTGTTGAAAATGGAAAGGGTCTCCAAACACTACATCGACTTGGTGAGAGATATATACAATAGAGCGGTAACTGGTGTATGAACAACTAGTGGAGAGACGAGTGAGTTTTCAATGACAATGGGTCTACATTAGGGGATATAGACGGCAAAATTATTCTTATTTTTTATTTTTATTCAACTTGAAAAGATGTATATTATAGTTTTAGTTATAAGATTTATTTCTAGGGTTGTTTAGCTTTTCTGGGATTCTAAGGTTTTTATTTTTTTTATTTACATCATAAGTACTATTGTTCACAGGGGTAAAAATATCATTATAAAATTTAAGTTTAAGTTAGGATATATAAGCCATTTTAATTATCGAATGGGCATGTAATATATTTGAACATTGAATTATAATATATAAGAGGTGTGTGGGGCCTTGAGAGGATCAATTCCACAACTTTTAGAATTGAAAGAGAGAAAAGCTTAAGCTTTTGGAACATAGCTTGGGGTATAAAGGAGAAACCCTAGGTTTATTTGAATTATCCATGTGTTTAGCTTTGTTTCTTGTCAATTTAACTGTTGCCTCAAATTTCCCAACATCAAATTGGTATCAAAGCCCACGATATACGGAAAGAACTGTAGCATTTGTACGGCGTACTGTAGCATTGTACGAAATTACCATGGCACTATATGGAGTTATTGTAGCATTGTGCGGAGTTGCTGTAGCATTGATTTTTTAGTGCCCTAGGTCAACAACAAAACAGGGAAGTTAGCGGAGGTCTAGGGTTTGCTGATTTTACCCAAAGTTTTGCAAAAAAAACCTAAATCTTGTTGATTTCAGCAGTTTTTTGTTGATTATTTCCCTAGATTTTGCGATTTCGACGAAACCATGGCAACGAGAAGGGGCCGTAAAAAGGGGTTTTCGTAGATCTACTTTGCAATCCCATAGATGACAGAATTGAGGAACTTGAAAGGCAAGTACAATAGCTGGGGCAGCAGTTCCCAAGCCTCAATAATGGGCAAGACGATCTTACAGCCCAAGAGGATCTCGAGTACAAACCTTTTCACTTTTGCGCTCCACGTGGGGAGTCAAGTGATGAGGATAGTGACAGAAGGCCTAGATGTGGGGAACAGTACTATAGGGTTTTCGATTTGGAGGATGAAATTCTTGATTTTGACACAGATCATAACGAAAATCAGCTGGATGTAGATTGGGATCTGCCACCAATCTTTGGTGCATACTTAGATGAAGGACAAGATCTTGTAGGAGATCCAATCTAAGATAATGATCAAGATTGTGGTTGAATTGGTATTTGATGAGGAAAAAGATGAAGGACTCAAAGGATAATTGATAAGTGAAGTTATTGGTTTAGAAGTCGATCTCAAAGATGCACCCGTGGTGTATTCTAAAGCTGAGTCTGGGAAATTCAGTACGGTTACATGGCTGAAGTGATGCAATTTCAACAAATTTATTTGATTAAAAACATTCTACTGACATACAATGACCCTTTCCTCAGGGTTTTCCTAGTTTTAATACACAATCATTGTGTTTTGATTAGTGCAGTAACCTACAAGTCCCAGGATCATGTTTACAACATTCAATTTGAGGAATGTTCTCAAACTATTGCCAATTTCATCTTAGCTTACTTCAAAACTCGATGACGAGTTTTCTCCAACCAAGAGAGAATAATGGAGGACAAAATTATTCTTCTTTTTAAATATTTATTCAACTTTAAAGGATGTATATTATAGTTTTAGTTTTAGAGTTTATTTCTAGGATTTTTTAGTTGCGTTGACTTGAGCGCATGCGGTTTGCATGTGCACTAAACTTCATACGGAGGGCAATCTGGTGGCACTTCGTGTGCACGTGTTTGGGGGAATATGGGGCAAATAGTAAGGCGCACAATTGCGCACAAGCCGCCACATTTGCACGCAAAAAACATCACGGTTTTCGGGCAAATTGCACTCGTTGAGTTGAGTGCGTGCAGTGCGCATGTGCACAAACCTTCGTACGGAGGGCAATTTGGTGGCACTTCGTGCGCACGTGTTTGGGGGAACGTGGGGCAAATAGTAGGTTGCACAATTGCGCACAAGCCGCCATAATTGCGCACAAAAAACCGGCATGGTTATCACGCGAATCACACGCATTGAGTTGAGCGCGCATGATATGCACATGCACTAAACTTTGTACGGAGGGCAATTTGGTGGCACTTCGTGCGCACGTGTTTGGGGGAACATGGGGCGAATAGTAGGGTGCACAATTGCGCACAAGCCGCCACAATTGCGTGCACAAAGCGGCACGATTTTTGCGCGAATCGCACCCATTGAGTTGAGAGCGTGCGGTGCGCATGT